TTTGTTGACCCAAAATTCATGTCAAAGCATGCTACAATTTTTCCTACAGGTATAATTAAAAAAATTGATAAAAAATCAAGTTTGATGGGATTTTAGTTAAACTAAACTGGGGCTTATTTGAATGATGGGGTTCTCTGAATCTGAATCACAGACCAACTAGCTGATGACACTTGGAATTGAGAATTTTCATCATGCAATTGGTGGGATGACCAAACATAGTCAAAACTTAGCATAAGAATCACTAATTTTAGTTGAAGCCCACTATTGAGTTTAATTCTTTGTGGATTGAAACTGTCGTCACATAGAAGACGTTAGAATTAATTGAAGGTTAATTATAAGAATGTGATTTCAAAACATGTTTGAGATATAAGTTCGACAATAAACAAATGTTGTAGAGTCTCATTGCGGTTACATAGTGGAGTAACAAACAAAAATCGTAGTGTCAATATAATTTTTCCCTGAATCAATGTGGAAAAATCTTTAAATTTCTAAAATCTCCTTGTATGCACATTCTTTCATTTATTTTTTCAAGTGTTTCCAAACATTAAAGCATGTTTGTGAAGTGTTTATAAATGGATTAAATTATAAATGAATTGAATTGTATGAAGAAAATGAATAGTACTTGTGAATATCTCAAAATGTGTTAATAAAAAGTATTGCAAACAGTCTTAAGTTTCGTTTGTAAAAATGAATAGATGTGAAGGTGAATGGATTTGCTTGCAAGTCAAACGCGACATCTGAGGACTTCTTCTCCACGGTGCTTGCCAAGCCAGGAGCCACCAACAATTCAATGGGGTCACTGGTGACTGGAGCCAATGTCCAAAGAATCCCTGGCCTTAACACCTTGGGCGTCTCCCTCTCCCGGATCGACTATGCCCCCGGAGGCTTAAATCCACCCCACACGCACCCTCGTGCCACGGAAATGGTGTTCGTTCTAGAAGGTGAATTGGATGTTGGTTTCATTACCACAGCCAATGTCCTGTATTCCAAGTCTATTAAGAAAGGAGAAACATTTGTATTCCCGAAAGGTCTGGTCCACTTCCAGAAGAACAATGGCAAGGTCCACGCTGCAGTAATAGCCGCGTTCAACAGTCAGTTGCCTGGAACTCAGTCCATAGCAGCCACATTGTTTGCTGCTTCACCACCTGTGCCAGACAATGTTTTGACAAAGGCATTCCAAGTTGGTACCAAGGAAGTTGAGAAAATCAAGTCCAGATTTGCACCAAAGAAGTAGAAGAAGACTCTGCCACATGAAACTTAAGCATCTGGGATTTGTTTTGAATGGCTAATAATGTAAATTTGATTTCTTCTATTTGGGAATCGGAAAATGACGTGAAACAGTACAAAATCAGACTGTTATTGGGAAGCACGGCTTGAATAATAGAAG